ATCCGAAACATGTATTGTTTTCATTAAATAATGATTTCAAAAACATCGTTTGGTTTTATCAAAGTCAATGCTGCAATGCTCATGTGCTATTGGGCACCAGCTGCGTCACTCACCCCTCGAGTAATGTACTTTGTCAGGAGCCCATCACTAGGAGCGTGTAACTCCCATACTAAGCCTACGTCACGGCATTTTTACAGACCGATTTATTTTTTAGGCTTTTTTTTCCCCGCGAAATAGGTCAGTTCCGATCTACGCGAACGGCATCGGTAATAAAAAATGTTATTTTTCTTTTTAATCCTCTGGTGAAATGATGACGTCAGTTAAAAATTAAGTCCGTGCTTGTGATTGGTCACTGAGCTTCCTGCGGGGATCTGAATTTGCAGTAAATTCAAACTAAAAATAGATCGGTCAGTGAAACGCCGTGACAGGAATGTTTGGTAGTTGCACGCTCCTAGTGATGGGCTCCTGACTTTGTTTATGTTCGTATTGTATACAGTTGCTTCGTCGTGAGCGTTGTTTCGTCGTTCCATATGTGAGTGTTGCTTCGTCATTCCAGTGGTTCCTCGTCTTGTTAAGTAAATGATTTCTCACAGATTTACCAAAGCCTGAAGGAAATGTGTGCTGAACAGCTCGCGGAAATATTTAAGTGAACCTCGTGGCGCGGGAAAAAAAAAATTGCACAAAGTGAGCCATCTTCTTCCGCGGATGTTACTCGCGCGTTGCGTTAACGTTTTCCTGGAGGATTTGTTGGACGATTTCGTTTCGTTCCAAAGTGAAGGAAAACCTCCAACGCTGCGGGGATGTCTTCTTTGGTTGATATTTTAATATCCGAAGCAAAGGAGCTTCGGCCCTCGCTATGTTTTGATGTATTTCGAAACTTTAATAAGAGTTGAAATAAGAGACGGATGTCCCCTGCACAAACCACATAACGAACGGATGAACGAATGAACGACAGAGAAATGAGTAACCAAACGAGCGCAGAGAAAACGAACACCTGAACAAAGCGCAACCTTTATAATTAACCTGGGCATCGTAGTTAACTTTATCTCTAAAATGCAGAAGTGTGGCCGTCAGTTCACGTTGTTGTGTCACAGTTGTAAAGAATGGCAAAGAAATGAACAAAGAATTATAACACACGTTTATACAGCCACTGTACACGTTGCCGATACCGTTGTGGCTTCGAATGAAAGGCAAAATAATGAACAGCTAAACGAGCGCAAAACAAACGAAAGCACAGCCGGAAAAAAAGACGGCCAACAGTGCAGAAAACGTTTGCGCTATGAAACGTCTCTTAAAAATCAAAACATATAAAATGACTTTTCACCACATTACCCTCCATTTCGTCACAGTATCACCCGTTGCGAGAAAGTCGCTTGGGCTGCCCACACAGCGCGCGAAGAACATCCGTGTGGAACTGAGTACCATTTCTAAAAATAACTTAAGAGCTTGGGTAAAAGGCCTTTATGGGGGATTCACTCTCTTACTTTGATCTTCTCTTACCCCAGGGTATTATCCCAAAGAAGGAAACTGTGGAAAGAAAGAAACACAACAGGGAAGATCGTACTTAAGTAATCATCGCAAGCGACGACGAGACCGAGAGCGCGGTAAGAGGAAGTTAAGTTCGAAAATTATTGCAATCAGACGAACGCAGAGATCATTATAGCGGAGCTCCAGTGACCCGAAGGGCCGCCAAGCGGAGCCCCATACTCATATAGGAAAGAAAAGGAAACCCATGAGTTGATTTTCTCATGGCTAGCGGTACTGCTCGTGGGCGCGTACGCACGACGGCGACGGCGACGACGACGACGGAGTCGCTCAACATGGCGGCCATACTCCAAAATCATGATAGGTTGACAGAGATATGCAGCCTTGGTTTACCGTGTACTTCTTTGATATTGGAAATCCAAGTTATGATCAACTGACACCTGTCAAAACAAGGTCTCCGCTGACCAGTATTACGTAACCATATCGCGGGCTCAAGTTTACAGCTCATCGAAGTCGAGTGTTTTTTAAAGTTGACCACCAAGTGGTGGTTTTCGATTGGATCGCGGGCTCATCCCAGGCTAACTTGTTGAAAACAGAGCAGGATTGTTCGGAAGCCGGTTAACGCTAACCCAGGATTAAAAGTTAACCGAATTATAACTTTTTCTTCTATACAAATGTTTTTTGCTGCTTTGTTTTGTGTGTATAGTGATTATTAAAACTCAAAACAGAAGGCCAAACAGTATACAGAAAACCTGACGCAAAGTTACAAAACTCAATTGAAAATTCTACCTTTTCCCGGGTTAGCTTAATTTGGCTCTGAACAACCCGGCCCAGGAGCTAAGCTTTTAGGCTGGCCTAAATCTATATATTAGAATCAACAACAGCAGATATATATGCTGATATTTTGAAAGAAGCTAGCTAGAAGCGCAAGTTTTTATCTGCTGTCCTCTAAGTTTCTAAGAGAGTAGCAATTAATTGAAAACTTGAAGAAAGCGTAAGGTTATGCCGGCTTAGCGTAAACGAAGTTCTGAAGCAGTGAACGCATTATAATATTCTGCGGATTGGCAATTTACAAGAAGCGCCGCACACGACTTTGTTGACAAAAGTCTTTGTGAAGAGCGCAGGCCGCCTTTAAATTAGAGCGCTTTTGTTAGCTTATTACACCTTGGGATTTACTTCACA